TTAGGCATAAAATTAGAGTACAAAAGTGCCAAGCAGATTATTATATAGTACAACACATATAAATATACATCTTTACTTTTATGTCACACAGATACACACGTACAGGCAGATATACTTTAGAAGAATATAATGTTTTAATGGATGTTAGGTCAACTTTTTCCTGTGACTGTTTCAGATGTTTATATATTGACTGGCTGAAATAGCATCATTTCCTGTTAATTTATCTTACATTTTTGTATGACAGGAATATAGATTAGTTTGTGTATATATGTACACTATTTAATAGTATGTGCATGTATGTGTACGTACACATACTATTTATGGGTATTAAAATAGCGAGGCATGTTAAAAAACTTAATTGCCAAGAACTAGGTTGTATATGCAAAAATATGCTTATGATCATTTCATTTTTTCACTTAACACAATTACATAAAATAAACTTAGTAAACATTGGCTCTTGCCATTTAGATAAAACAGTTGTAAACATACTTGTTTTTCAGTACTAATCTTAATGCAAAAGAATTTAGGAATCATTTCCTAGGATATCTCGTGCAGTGAGATTACAAACCTCTCATGCCATTAAAATATTTTCCAACTATATAGTTTCTCTAAAGCATTTAATATACTAATTTAAGTTGCATAAAACCTGGTAATATTTTATATATGTGTATATAGGTTTATTACAGGAGAAACATTAACCTCTGCCATAGGAAAAGGGGTAAGGTTCACATTTTCTTTTTTTTTAACCTGATCTTCAGTTGGAGAGTTTTTTTCTAAATTTGTTTTTATCATGACTTGTATTGACAGTAACTTTATATGTGTGATATAAAAGTAGCAAGGCATGTTATACAACTTTATATCATTCTTTTTCTGCAATGGTACTATTGGCTAGAAGAAAATTGTTAGATTTTTAGGATAGCACGCCCTTTTCTCTAGCAATTTTTGCTATTTAAAATGTTTTATAATCCGCAGTGGAAAGGCAGGTTGTTCAAACTTAAAATCGATTGCCTCCCAGCCAGCCATAGCTGTTCCTTCGATTGAGTGCTGCACATTATGGGCTCTGTGAGAAATCCAGGTGCTTGGTGTCCTTGCATGACATGAAGTTTTGCATGTAGATCGATTTGAAATGTTCCGCTTGTTTACATGATTTGCATAATTTAAAAAAGATGTTGCCAAACTTTTGGTAAATGTTAAAACAGAAAAATCTCCACTACATGTATCTTTCTTCTTTTGGATCAGTATGTGGATTATAATCCCAGCCAGTGGTTGTATTTGTTCCATTGTCAACTGCCATGTGCTCTGCTTCAGGGGGAACTAGTCTTTTGTGAATTTTTTTGTACATAAATATTTGTTACAAATATTTTAGCAATTGCTTTTTATTTCTTAATTGCTTGTGCATATCCTTCCTGGCATAATAGAAAATAGTGCTAATGTTACTTTCGTACTGGGGGAATGAGCTTTTTTAGGTTGTGCGCAAAAAAAAAAGGGTTATGTTGAATGTTTAGATTTTTCCTCTGCATGCTAATACCATACATTGTTGGAACTATAGGAACCTTCATAATGTATGAATAAAAATAAACCATTTGAACTTTACTGCATGGTGTTAAAGTTTCAGTTGAAAAAAAATATTCTGAATTTCAGATCTGATTGTACTAAAATTATTTGATGCTTTTATGTATAATTAAATACCTGTAACAATATTTGCCCATTTTTCTCAGTGACAGTTCATTTAACATCAAGTAACATCAGATTCAAAGTTTATAGGGATAACCAGTTTCCAAAGTAAATTTTCTTTTGTAGACACGTTAATTATCCTGTATTAGTGAATAGGAACAGTAAGTTTAAGACACATTAAACTGTAATTTTATGGAAATTTTTGGCACCATTATGGGGAGAATTGGCCAGTTTTATTCTTAGTTCCATGGTAACACCAATTTTATTTTAAGTATAGCATTTTTTCTAATTTTGCAATCTTGACTCATTGCACATATAAGAGAAAGTTCCACCTGAAAGATATCATTTACTGTAAACATCAGGGAATAATGAATTCGGGATTGAATATATGTACTTGTCCATGCCTATTTCAACACAGAATCTTATGATTTTTAAAAACAATATTAAGAGCCTCATATATACAGGTGAAACTCGAAAAATTAGAATATCATGCAAAAGTTCATTTATTTCAGTAATGCAACTTAAAAGGTGAAACTAATATATGAGATAGACTCATTACATGCAAAACAAAATAGTTCAAGCTGTGATTTGTCATAATTGTGATTATTATGGCTTACAGCTCATGAAAACCCCAAATCCACAATATTAGAAAATTAGAATATTACATGCAATCAATAAAACAAGGATTGTACATAGAACAATATCGGACCTCTGAAAAGTATAAGCATGCATATGCATGCACTCAGTACTTGGTTTGGGCCCCTTTTGCAGCAATTACTGTCTCAATGCGGCATGTTACGGAAGCTATCAGCCTGTGGCACTGCTGAGGTGTAATGGAAGACCAGGATGCTTCAATAGCAGCCTTTAGCTCTTCTGCATTGTTCGGTCTCATGTCTCTCATCTTTCTCTTGGCAATGCCGCATAAATTCTCTGGGGTGCAGGTCAGGCAAGTTTGCTGGCCAATCAAGCACAGTAATCCCACGGTCATTGAACCAGGTTTTGGTGCTTTTGGCAGTGTGGGCAGGTGCCAAGTCCTGCTGGAAAATGAAGTCAGCATCCCCATACAGCTTGTCTGTGGAAGGAAGCATGAAGTGCTCCAAAATCTCCTGATAGATGGCAGCATTGACCCTGGACTTAATGAAGCACAGTGGACCAACACCAGCAGATGACATGGCTCCCCAAATCAAAACAGACTGTGAAAACTTCACACTGGACTTCAGGCATCTTGCAGTGTGTGCCTCTCTATTCTTCCTCCAGACTCTGGGTCCTTGGTTTCCAAATGAGATGCAAAAGTTGCTCTCATCAGAAAAGAGGACTTTGGACCACTGAGTAACAGACCAGGTCTGTTTTTCTTTAGCCAAGGTAAGGTGCTCTTAAGTTGTTGGTTGTTCAGAAGTGGCTTGACAAGAGGAATACGACATTTGAAGCCCATGTCCAGGATCCGTCTGTGTGTGGTGGCTCTTGATGCACTGACTCCAGCCTCAGTCCAGTCCTTGTGAAAGTCCCCCCAACACTTTTGAATGGCCTTTTCCTGATAATCCTCCCCAGGCTGAGGTCATTCCTGCTGCTTGTGCACTTTTTTCTTCCAGTTTTCCCTTCCACATAACTTTCTATTAATGTGCTTTGATACAGCACTTTGGGAACATCCAACTTTTTTTGCAATTACCTTTTGAGGCTTTCTTTCCTTATGGAGGGTGTCAATGATGGTTTTCTGCACAATTGTCAGGTCAGCAGTCTTTCCCATGATTGTGATTCCTACTGAACCAGACAGACCATTTAAAGGCTGCAGGTGTTATGGGCTTAATTAGCTGATTAGAGTGGGACACTTTGAGCTTCGAATATTGAACCTTTTCACAATATTCTAATATTCTGAGATTGTGGATTTGGGGTTTTCATGAGCTGTATGCCATAATAATCACAATTGTGACAAATCACTGCTTGAACTATCTTGCTTTGCATGTAATGAGTCTCTCATATAATAGGTTCACCTTTTAAGCTGCATTACTGAAATAAATGAACTTTTGCACAATATTCGAATTTTTCGAGTTTCACCTGTAATTTAAGAGTCCCCTTGAATCTGAAAAGTGGGCTATTACAAAACATGGGGGGGGGGGTGTAACTAAGAACTGGCACCATACATATATAAGTCAAATAGTCAACAGTCTGATTTACAAATTGGCATTAAACTTGAATAATTTATTGGGAATTTACATAGTAGTTTAAGGACTGGTTTGTGGTACTAAAATTAAAAATTTACTATAAAAGCATCTTTAGTTTGCTATTAGCAAGTCCTTATTAGCATGTGCATTCATGGGGTAGGACATCTTTAGTTAGCTTTTTGCAGAATCGTGCAGCAAAAAAACAAAAAACCAGTTATTCCAAAAGCTGTAAATTGTCCACACATTTGGGCCATGAAATAATACAAAATGGGCTGTGATCTATAAATGCTTTGATACCAAATTACTAAAAATTACACATTAACAGGAAGAGATCCTGCAAGTTCTTTAATAATGGATAGATATTCATGTCCTGAGAGATAGTTTGGGGTAATGGTTAAAGACATAAGGCAGAAGCTGAGTTTTAGTCCTGCTTTAGGTAGAAAGGCAGATAGGTAGCTCTGGACCAATGCCATTCTCACAGCTCTAGAAAAGTCAAGCTACTTCTTAAAATGTCTGCCAACAAAACAGCAAAGACTCATTCAGGCAATTGTCAGAAGTCAAGACTAATTAGAAGGTGTAAGATTCCCTTCCCCTCCATTTTTGCTTTCAATTTCTTTGGCGCCCTCTCAAGTCTAGTTTGCATTCTGTCTATGCTGCAGAATTAGAAAGGCAGGTGGCCCTAATTGAAAAGCAAAGAACTCTAGGATCTGCATATCTCCCTCTATAATGTCACAATATTGAAAAAATCTTCCAGGGAGATTATCAACAGTGTAACAGCTTCCTCCCCTCTTCATCTGAAATGTTCCCAAAAAAGGGAAAAACATTTGTGATTGGAAACATTTGATCAATTCATTTTAACATCTGGATAGATGTAGTTAGATCCTTGTTTGCTAGTTTACTAGTAAACTTTAACCATAAATATATTTGTCAGCTAAATACAATGAGCAGCCCCATTCTGCTTTTTTTTTTTTTTTTTAGTGGAATAGCCCCTTTCCCAGTCATCTTTGTTACATTTCGTATCTTAGCATTTTAAAACAGTTGGGAATTTCTGAGATAAGTACAATGCATCCAATAATGACTCGCAGTATATTATGCAAAGTATTCTGTTCACAGCTGTATTTGGTTAACCTTGTATCCATTCAATTCAAAAACTGACATAATATTAGCTAGAATGAAATTCAAGTACCAATTTTTATTGGACATAACTTCATTTTAGAATGCTTCATGATAAGATACTTGCTTGAGAACGTTGCTGTAGCAGTTCTATTAAATGCCAGTTGTGTTGGAACTGAAAATTGCTAAGTTTACTAGGGATGTGAAAAATATTCCATGCATAGAACTGCTAGTTTTGAGTGACCTAGACATGAATTAATTCAAAAAGAAGTGTTTTGAGGCATGGATACTGGTGGCAACTAGAAACAAAGTGCAAAGATCAGGAATGAGCTGTTCAGGTGGGTATTTCCACTGGAAGCTAGCAGGGAGAAGGGCAAGAGGGACACTCGGAAAATAGGTAGTCTGCCACAAGCCTGGAGGAAAAAAAGAGGCACGACATATCAGCCTTGCCCAACTCACCCTTAAATCCTTCTGAATTTTGTTTCAGCCCAAACTCTGGATAAAGAAAATATTCCAAATTTTGGTCTGGCTGAAATGCCACCTGCTTAAAATGGTTTAGCAGAGCTTCTGAAACACAATGTGTTTGTTTTGGGTTTTAAAGAAAAGCACTTTTTCTGTAATCTGTATTTTGACATTGCTTTCTTCAAGTGTTTTCCAGTATCTTGTGTAGAAGCGTGTGACTTCAAAAGCCATGGTCTTAAAATCTTTCTGTTGCTCTGCTTGCTATTGCTCTAATATTGCCATAAACTTTAGATGGAGGACTCCCTGTAGAAGAAAACAGTGCATTCATACAACTGATTTATAAGTAATGATACAATATATATTTAAAATACAGCAAAAGATTTACAGTTATAATTAGTATAATAAAAACAATAAAGTATTGATTTAAATAGTATTTTAGTTCTCAATGCAAGCTCTTATAAGGCTATGTCATGCATACTTCTGAGGGAGATGGGCATTCTAAACATGAAATTGTGTGTGTCTGTGTGTCTGTATGTGTGTATATGCACTCATGCATGTATATGTGTATTTAAAATTAGTACAACTTAAACCTTTTTCTAACTAGAATACTCATAAATGAATATATGCTAACTTACATTAATTACAAAATTCTATATATTTAGGTTAGAATTTAAATGGCAGATGCAGAACAAAAGTTACAATGAAGTCCACTAACGAGCCATCAATTTGATATGAAAAAATAACTTCATTTCTTGCTCCAAAAATACCTTCCAGTGCGAATGCAACCATTTTGTGCATCTCAGTTTTTCTGTGTTTGATTACCCATCCTTGAAAACTGAGTTGTATAGGGAAACAGTCTGTAATTATGGCTCCTGATCCATTAATCACTGTTTATAATCTTTACATCATTCCTTCGCCTCACAGAAATCTCAAGTTATATTTCTCTAATCAAAGGCACTTCCTACTTGCAAATCTTTGCTCATTAACTGGCATAGTCAAAATATAATGTTAACAAAAGGAATATAAATTTTACCTAGAATGAGATTGCAAATGGCTGTCCGTGCCATTTTAATGTTCTGGAAAGATCCTAAAATATGAACTTTCCTGTAATTAAAATGAAAAGTTCTCTTCACATATAAAGTTTGAACATCTGAAAGAATTATTTTATTCACTAAACAATCTTATATAGCACTTTATATTTTATACAAAAGTAGCTCTAAGCTAAATTTATTTCCATAAGGACAAGTTTCAGCAACAGGATATGCCTTTACAAATCTTTAGAAATGTTCATGATATAATGCCATCCCCATTTATTTCATTTCAGATCTACTTTCCTGAACCTTCTGTTGGAACACACTGAATGTCTTAATTGAGGCTCATTAACTCTTTAAGATTGTTATTGCATTATAATACAATTACTATTCTACTTTTAAATATAGTTAGACAGCCCATAACTCTTTGGGTCATTTCTAAGATCCTTGCCAGATTCCTTAATGTCTTCAATAATGGCAGAACTTTTATAAAGTACTTAAAAAGTTCTTAAAATTCAGAGGGATAGGACATGAAAGTAGCTCATGTTGAACTGTGTAGCATAGTCAAACATCAAAAGTTGCTCATGGGAAATATTTTATGAAATTTTGTATTATCCTAGAATGCTTTATGATTATTTTTATCTCATGTTTTATAAAACATTGTCAAATTTCAATTCCATGGGAATCATGGATCTCGATTCTGTATGTATTCTGTAAAAGTGAGCTAATTTGAGGTACCTTGAATCAAATATCATTACCCTATGTTTCATCCAGTTAGTTTTAATAGTATAGATTCAGCTGCTATAGACACTGAGACACACACATCTGATTGTGATATTAAACAATAAACCATTTCTATTGTACATGGTTTTTTTTTCGTAATATGTTGACTGATGAAGGCTAGAAATCTTGACAGCTTGAATATATTTGGAATCTCTGAGCCAATCAAATCCAGCCATTATCATTATATGAGTAATAACAATGCAGCATATCTAGAGGATCTATCTGTCCACGTGATGCATGCAAGCATATCAATTTGTATATATACTACATTCAGCCAGAAGATACACCATAAAGTCCTTAGGGAGATAGGTATTTTAGAAACATGAAAAATAAATATGTTTTGTGTTTTCAAGGCAGTATTTAAAAGATCATCTTAGTAGTGTCTTATTCCTGGGAATTTATCAGTAGAATCCAATCTTCAGTTTTAATATATCCAGCATGACAAAATTATGAGGTTCTAAAATTGCTTAAAAAACACAGAAGGCTATTACACTAAAACCTGGAAGTTTATTAGCCAAGATTCAAAATTTAAAAAATTGGGAACTGTATAACACTTACGAATCTGCAAGAACTATTCGTGTCCTTGTTACATTTTCAATAGTAAATTTGGTTTTTCCTCCTTTTCCAGCAATTCTTCCTATTGCTCTTGAAAGATGATCTCCTTTTAAAGGTTTAACTAAAGAGAAAATACTGTTTTAATTATTTATTTACCGTTTCCCTGGGCCATTTGTCTATGTTGGAATCCAATGATTGCTAAATCTGAGTAAGTGCGACTTACTTCACTTAACAGTCAAGTGAGAAACAGTTTTTTTTTTTCCAAATATATATTTCAAAAAGATTCCCAAAGTTCTACTCTTTATCTCCCCCCCCCCCCCCCCCCAATCTTAATGGGCTATGCTGATAAATACAAGAATTAAGATGACAGGATTCTACCATTTTCTCAACACTTGTTTCAGGCACACTAATGAAACAAGGCAATCCATAGAAATGAAACATAAATCTTTGTTGATATAGAAAGTCTGTAACAACATTTAGAAATATATTTGTATACATATAAAGAACCAAAAAATATGCAACTAGAATAAATTCCACAATTGTAATCAAATCATTACTCTAGTAACATAACAATATACCTCTAACAATGCTTTTGCTGTTCAATCTGTATTAAAGATTCTCATGATAATTTAGCAGAAGGCCTAAACAGTAACAACACACGATAGTTGATTCTTTAAAATTTTAATATATCTTTTGAAATCCACAAGTCAAATTAACAGTTAGAAATGAAGGCTGGCAGTTTTAACTGAGGAATGGTTCAACTAAAAAATGAATCAGTGGAAAATGATATTTCAGACCAAACAATGTGAATACAGGTTTCAAAATTATTTTAAGAGGTTATTTCAGATGTATTCCTATCAATGAACAACAGTTCTTAACTATATGCATCTCACATCTCCTAATACCCATTATTGTTCTGATCTTTTGATATACTGATTTTCATACTTACCATCTGTTACTTCAAATGATTCTAGAAAAAGCTCATCTAATCTGATTAATGCAAGTGCATCCTGAAAAACAGTAAATAATAACTATGATTTTTAAAAATATAGGATCAAGAACAGTCACTAGTAAGACACCATAGTATAGAGATTCTCTAGCTCCGCATTACCAAAACAATAAAATAGGCTAGAAATCTGAACTAATGGACAATAGTACTAAGTTCCCTAACATGCACACTTATAAAAATACTTCAACAAATACATGCCGCTACATACTACCACCATTACATATTATCCTGCAAGTCATCAATTGGCAGGAAATTACCTGCCAATTAAAATGTTCTTATCCCATGGGTTTTACCATCTCAAAATACTTTCCAGACTGTTTCCCAATTTATTTGCATATGCTCATGGTACATTTGACCAGGCAAAGTAAAAGCAAGTTTTAACACTTCATCTATGTTGCATATGAAACCTCATTCCCTGAGACATTTATTTATTTAGATAATTTATAATTTATATAACTGCCGATATCATCTAGGTCCGTGATGGCAAACCTATAGCACAGGTGCCAGGGGTGGTATGCAGAGCCCTCTCTGGGCACGTGAACCATTGCCCCAGCTCAGCTCCTCTGTTCATGTGTATGTGCGCCTCCCACTGGCCAGCTGATCTTTGGGTCTTGGCTGCACAAGCACAGGGCATGCATTTGCATTGCATTTTGGGGATGCGCACACGCGCGCGCACCTTGAGCACTTGCTGCTGAAAAGGTTAGCCATCACTGACCTAGATAATGTACAAAAGGATAAAAACCAGAAAAAACACTAATTACAAATAAATGTAAACATATTCTCTACAGATTCAGCAACTGGGATCATAAAATATTAAATCCCTCAGCTAATTATCCAAAAAGAACAAAATTCTTCCCTCAACCCCCTATGAAAACACTTCTTAGATCTTTTCAAGTACCAGCAACATTCATTCAATATTCACACAATGAACTACAGCAGACAAGAACTTACCTCAACCTGAAATCCTAGTATAAAAGCTTTTACAAAATCAGCTGCTTTTGTCAAAGCACCTATGTCTTTTGTTTCTTTACAAGTCTAGAAAATAAAATAAGTTAAAATTTAGGAAGTGATCCTTGGGGAGATTCATAAATATTACATGAAGCACCACAATCAACTCCCCTAAATATTTAATTCAATTAATTCTAAATATTAATTTATAAGGTTCTACTAACACAATATGCTATTGCTTCTACTATATAAGACTATTTTGATATTTCTAATGAATTAAAAAAACCTCCAAATCTGTATGGGAAGAATTATTATAAACATATTCTACATTGTGGTTGCCTAAAATGAATTGATACATTATTTTCCAACCATTTAGGACTGACTTTGTCAACTCTAATAACTCAGATCTAAAATGCTATTTTAACAAACCAGCAAGTTATATCCATTTTCTGAGAATAATGGAAAAAACTAATTATTAAAGCATTTTTTTACAGATTCAAAAGTAGCTGTCAAGTATCACTGGGCCAAAATAAGTAGTGAAATTGTGAATTGATATTGATCTACTCTACCTCATTTACCAAGGACAAAAACAGAAGGGGGAAAATTCTGTTTATCCATGCCAGTGGCATCCAAGTATAATTGCAATATAATTTACTATTAAATCTGCAACATATTCCAGATTAAAAAGTTCCCCTATGTGAAGAATCTGCAGAAAGGTATATGCTCCTATTTAAACAATACACATTTGTCTTATCTATTTCTATTTGAAGGATTATTTATTTCATTGGAATGCATTTTCACATAATTGGATTATTTGGAATTTTTATTGACCAAAATAATGAGGTTCATTAAGGCTTACTGTCAAAACATTAAGATGACAACTTGTTTTAACAAAATATTTCTAATACCAAAAATAAATTTAGGAGTGATTTTTTTTCCAACAGCAGACACAAATATTAGACAATATTAACTTTTCAGAAATAGTAGACTTACTGTTTACCTTTATCTCTACATTCCTTGTTTTTAAGTTAAATCTAATTTGAAGCTGCAAATGTTCTACAATTGGTGTAAAAATTTTCATCCAGTTCTCTTTCAAAGGAGTATATCTATTTGCTGGTACAGGAATTTTTCTCAATTCATCTTTTCCACACTAGAAAATATAGTAACCATCATAAAATTAAATGTTCAGCAAATAAAATAATTCCATGTATTCAGTTCATTTATGTCTCTTTACATATAATAAACTCCAGAAAATATGAGATGTAAATAGTTTTTTCTAATATTAGATATATCAGAGATTCTTGCCTTTAAAGTTCTACCCTATTCAAAATTAGAGAGTTGTGTTAGTTTATACTAGTATTAGTCTCTATTATTCTGACTGCATCAGATCCCTCCTTCTGATTTTTGTGACTAAACTGATGCCCATCTTATACAGATCTAACAAAGACCCTGATTTCTACATACAATATGTATGATGAACTCAGTCACCCTCAGTCGACTCAGTAACAATATACTAACGATCAAACAGTATACAATACTGCTAGTAAGAGTATACTAACGATCAAACAGAAATTTGTTAAGAGATGCTAAAGCAGCATAAAATGATAAAAACCCTTTTACTTCCAATCACAGGGTGTTGCAGGTAATAACCAGCATTTTATTTTGCACTGGGAGGCATACTGGCCATCAGTGCAACTCACAAAGCAGAGGTGTTATCTGGGTATATTGAGGCAGGGCCATCATTATTTGTGCCACTGCATTTTGGACCAGTTGAAAGCTTCCAAGGTTTTTCAAAGGGCAGCCAGATTATTATTACCTTTATTGTCAGAGTACAACATGTGTACAATGAGATTGGCTGAGCCTCTCTTCGTGCACCCCCCCCCCCCCCAGCACAACTCACAGGGAGGATAGAAGTCCTAACCCAGTCCCAATCTTATTACACTATGTGACCTTGTTGCACAACGTGCCGGCCCTGCAAGTCTATCATGCTATGTTGACATGAAGTTATTTTCTGTTCAGAAGTCTGACAGCCCACGGGTAGAAACTGTTCTTCAGCCTGTTGGTGCAGCTGGCTATGCTTCTATATCTCCTACCCGATGGTCGGAAAGTGAAGAAGTGCTGACAGGAGTGTGAGTCGTCCCTGAGGATTTTCCTCACTCTTCTGTGGCAGCGAGCCCTAGCGATGTCATCTAGTGGTATCAGGGAACAACTCATGATGTTTTGTGCTGTGCTCACCACCCTCTGTAGTGTCTATCCACGGCGGATAGACCCAAAGGAAATGGAGTCTCTGTTGGGCCTTTCTGCCCACCTGGGTTGTATTGATTTTCCAGGAAAGATCTTCGCTGAGGTAGACTCCCAGGAATTTAAAGGAGGAAACTCTCTCTCTCTCAGATGTAGAGTGCATTGCATTACCTAAGCCATAAGGTGCCTAGAACATGAATGGCTATCTGAACATCCATCCCACTCACATCCCCCCCACCCCCATACAGGAGCACAAGGATGGGATGCACCACCATCATCCTGGCTCTGCCACAGGTCATCGACAAGGTCGACCAAGACTTATCATCTCAGTACTACACCCTTGCTTGAAACCTGATTTGGAATCCACCAAAATAGCTTTTCTCTCGGAATGAACACCAAAGCAAGGAATGGGAAGATGGGGATGCCTCCATTCACACATACCCACCCACAATATATAATTATAATAAATCAAACTGAAGATTAAAATCTGCGCTTAAAACCAGAGTAAGCCCACACCGGCTCGGCTTACTACTGGAATGTAGCATGAACGTGGTATTGAAACGCCCGCAGTTTAACCATTTGTCAATGCTTGCCATTCACATTTCAAAACGCAATGGCCTTTCCACGAGAAACGCCTGGCCGGGAAGGGAAAACGTTAACTTGCTCCCGGGCATTAAGAAACGATTCCTGGCGACCCTTTTCTACTTCGGCCAGACCAGCCACGCCAGGAGCCACTGGAGTGAGTCACTTACGGCGAGGGCTTCCCCGCTAAGAGGAGGGAAATCCGGCCGCTTCCTAGGCACCGGGCTCTCGTTCGTGTCCATCTGGGGCTCCCGACGCCTCTTCCGCTTAAGGACCTTCGTGAAGCCTTCTGGCTGAGGCAGCGGCAGCCCCACTTCACCGGCGCTTTCCATCTCCACGTTTCGCCGGGCCTATCTAGCACGATATCTACAGGAAGAGGCGGAGCTGCGTCTCGAGTCACGCAAGACAGCTGCCATAGAAGCCTTTCCCGTTCCTCCAGTTCGCGCTCTATGGTTGGAGGTCGCGCTCTCTTTTCCCGCCCTATACTGGAGAAAGAGAGAGAGAGAAAAGGGGCGGGGGGGGGGGACGGGACCAAAACCGGAGACCTAACCTTGCTCCTCCCGCGCCCTGGCCAGGGAGTTTCAAGTGGAAAGGTGGTACTGCGCAAGGATCACAACCCTCGGAATCTCTATGATCTAGTGTCCCGGATGTGTGGCCCTTCCGCCGTTTACGCATGCGCAGAGACTCTGAAGCGGGGGGGGGGGGGGGGGGGGGGGGGGGGAAGTGGTGGCAAAGAATCTGGCCCCGCCGGGTGCCGTTGGGCTCAGGGGCAGGTTCTTGCCGTCATGTCTGCGGGAGGCTTGTTGGAGAAGCCGCAGATCATCGCCCATACACAACACAGCTTGAATTACACCGTCTTCGATTGCAAATGGGTGCCCTGCAGCGCTCGCCTCCTTTGCTTGGGCAATTTCCCGCGCGGCACCGGCGTCATTCAGCTCTACGAGCTGCAAGGCGGCCGCCTCGTCCTCCTCCGCGAAGTAAGGAAGGGAACAACGCACCGGGCTGCAGCCCCCGTTTTCCCACAGGAGCAGCAAGAAGCCCATGAATACCAGCCTCACTGCCAAGCACCATACAGTTGCCAACCTCGGTGTTAGTTTTGCTCCCTTGCCCGGGCCTCAGGATACTTTCCTGGGCTTAAGTGGAAGCTCAACCGTGGATTCCCTTAGTTTTTTTTCCCCGCCTGAAATCGAGTGCTGATATATTAATTCCAACAGAAGAAAATATGTATAGGTCAGGGTTGAACTACCAATTCTTTGTGCTCTCTGGGCTTGTTTGTTTGCACTCAGGCGTTTCATGACTTAACTAGGTAACACCATCAGTGTTAGTGAGTGTAGGGTTTGTTCCCTCTTCATGTACAATAGCATGCCCTGTTATCGTTGGTGGGATGTGGTTTTCTCTTTGATAGTTCCCTGATTAGGGTATGTTTGTTTGTTTTGCTTTATGGTTTGCCTAGTGTTGATCCCTACTATCTAGAAGTGGGTTACTGGAGAGAATGCATTATGGTCTTTTTGTTTCCTTTTTTTATTGTCTCTTGAATTGTATCTAAATGTGTCTGTCTATTTTTCTGTATGTGTCTGATACTGATACAGAGTCCTTTAATGAGTCCTTTTACCATTTACCAAATGAGGTATCTCAAGATTGAGGTCTTGTGTGAATTACATAAATTTATCAAGAAGTAACATCAGGAATTGGCTATCACTCTTTGTGTACTTAGTAAAGATTGCATTTAACATTCATTTTCTTACAAGTAAGATGCCTGGAGTTTGCCTCCGCTGGCATTTAATTGCAGTGGCATTTAATTGCAGTGCAGCATTTTAGAGTCAAAGGCATGATGCCAATGCATGCACAAGGAGGAACAGGAAAATGGCTTAAGACTATTGAACATTTCAGTATTAACCTTTTAATACTGGAAGGCTGAATTCCAATTAACAGAATACATACAACAGTTCCTTAAAATAAATAGTGAAGAAATATATAAGCATTCATTTAGTGACTGTTCAAAGTTATAATGGCATTGAAAAAGTGACTTACGACGGTTTTCATGCTTATTATCAGTGCAGTATCCTCATAGTCATGTGATCAAAATTTGTATGCTTGGCAGCTGGTTCATATTTATGACAATTGCATGTGATGTCATGTAATGTGATCCCCTTTTGCAACCTTCTGACAATCAAATTCAAGGGGGAATCCAGATTCATTTAACAACTGTGTTACTAATTTAACAGGTGGATTGAACAACAGGTTCACTTAACAGCCGTGGCAAGAAAGATGGCAAATTGCAGCAAAATTCACTTAACAACTGTCTTGCTTAGCAACATACATCTTGGGGTCAATTGTGGCCATAGGTCCACAAGGACTGTCAGTATTGGCATTTATACCTTTTAGCTATGTCAACACCCAGTATTTGGCAAAGCAGTATATTCAAGAGTCACACATGTTAAGAAATGAGTAATAAAGAATGCCACAGTGCTCACCATGGAAATAGGCATTAACTGTTCTTGTATACATAACACTCTACTAAACACAGAGCAGTTAATTACTGTAGCCATAGCAGTGCAAGAAATGCACTACCTATTGGTCTTAAAAAGCTTTAAGGAGAAATAAAATCCTTTTCTATAGCACAGATTGACTTTGTAGACTACAAAATACAATAATTAAATCCTCACAAGGGGCAAACAGTTCATTTTTTCTACTTCGGGAACAATGAAATTAGATTTTAGTTTTAGTGTTACTTTCCAAAAAGAAGCATATTTAATCTATAAGAGGTTTTTTTAATATGAAAGGATCACCATGAATGGTATTGGTGAATTGTTGGCAGTGAGTTGAAATGGGGCATATCTACTTTGAAATGTAGCATTCTTTAGAAGATCTACATACTGTATCCTTTCCCCAAACTAGCTGGATGGGGTAAATCAATTATAGTAGTATTTTAATGTTCTGTTTGCAACTGAAGTGCATGCAAAATATACTAGCTGTGAAGAAAAGTATGTGGAAAAGCACAGTATATTAGAATATACCTTATAAGAAATGTGGGGACAGGGATCTATATTTATTTTTGTGGACTTTTTTATTAAATCATCTACAAGAACATAATAAATGTAAAGTTGGGAAAAAAAGAAATATATGAAGTTGCCCATATGAAGTGGCAATATAAACAGAATAAATTGCATGTTTTTACAGAAAGTTCATCTTGGCTCAAAAGTTATAGCAAAATATAGCATCTTAACTTGATTTTCTGTAAAGGAATTGGATGTTATTGTTCTGGCAAACGTGAATGTTAGTCATTCAGAATTTAATGCTATCTTTCTGTGTATAAATTTACATAATTTAAATACATGTATAATTTGTAAGGGGTGTGCAGGTAGGACTCGCATAAGCCCAAAATTTCCATTGCTAAGCAAGACAGTTAAGTGAGATTTGCCACGTTTTACAATCTTTCTTGCCACAATTGTTAAGTCAACCATTGCAGTTGTTAAGTTAGTAACATGGTTGTTAAATGAATCTGGCTTTCCCATTGATTTTGTCAAAATTGCAAAATGATCACATGACTATGGTACATTGCAACCCATCATAAATATATACCAGTTGCCAAGTGTCCAAATTTTCATCGCATGATCATAGGGATGCCGCAACAGTCCTAAGTTACTTTTTTCAGTGGCATATCTTTGAATGGTCACTAAATGAATGATTGTAAGTTGAAGACTTAGAAGCTTGAGATACGAATTGCAATTAAGAAATGACTTTTGGTGTGGTTTACACCTTTTCTTTACAAATTTACAAATTAAAGAGATGTAGTAATCTATAAAAGCAAGCCGTACATACTTTGTTTCTCAAGAAATTAAATGTGAAATGTACCTTGTTTTTTTTAATTATGGAACTTGGATGGCAGCTTCTAATCTTTCTGTTTCATGTCTATTTTGATTATGCATCTAGAAAGAACTAGGCTAATAATTTGTAGATACATTCTACAAATAGAAAATAAAGGAGAAAGTACATGGGAGTGCTAATCTTTATGCCTTTGCAATGATACGTTTCTTTGACTTATTTGGAATTCTTCCCCCCAAAGTATGTATAGAATTGCAATCTTTATATCCTAAGATCTAATTATTAAAGTCAAACCTGTTCATTCATTTGAACCTTAATGGAACTAAAAAAATTATGTTTAGTCAGTGTTTGATTCTAATATGATCTAACAGGTAGAACAATAAATTGAAAATAACAATCATTCAATGTAAACATTTATCTCTACTTCCAGATTGAAAAATCACGACCTATTAAATGTGCAACCTTTGGGGCTGCTTCTTTGCAACAAAGATACTTAGCTACTGGAGATTTTGGTGGAAATTTAAATATATGGTAAGAAATGTTTTTTTTGCAAATTTTAAAGATAGGGCCTTATCTTTTATTGGACAACTTAAGAGTCACTGTAAAATCAGTATTGTTCACTGTCTTAAATATTCCTAATTTTTTAGACAGCAATAAAACATTTACTTTGAAGAAGACTGAATTAATTGTATTATCTTTTATGGTTTTCTTTTTCTGAATCTTCCAGCCTCAATTATAAAATATATTTTAAAGCTCAGGTAAATTTTTTGACCAGTCTGTGATGCAGTACAGGTAGTCCTGATTTATGATTGATCACTTAGCGATAATTCAAAATTGTAACCTACCTGCAAGGTAGGTTCTGAAGTTTTGACAGCTGCCTCTTGCTTCTCCCCATCATATGTCTATACTTTGAGTGCTCCACAGCATGGCTGCATTTGCCCATTATCCGGGATCACATAAATGCATTTTACAATGGTTTTACTAAAAACCAGAAGTAACTTCCATGGTAAACTTCCAAACCATAGTAAACTGACTTTGCTTGATGACCAGTGTTCAGTCAATACTGTAGTGTTCCTTTTATGTCCGCCGTGTTTGCTTATTGACCACTGCAAAAATGGTTGTAAAATTGGGTTGGTGACATGACCGAACTGATTTATGATATTTAGAATATGTAATTGTTAAGGGCAATTTATGATTTGTAACGTGAGTGTAATGAGCAGGCTCCATTATGATCCTATGTGAAGATCTATAATAAATGTAAAAACATTTTTTTTAAACTTCACATTGTAACTAAATTATAATTTTGTATTTTTCCATTTTACATCATGAGGTTATTAATACACACAAGAGCACACAACAGATATAAACTAAACATAAACCACTCCAAACTTGATTGGAGGAAATATGATTTCAGCAACAGAGTGGTCAATATCTGGAACTCACTACCTGATTCTATTGTCACATGCTCAAACCCCCACTCCTTTACCCTCAAACTAACTTCTATTGACCTCACCCCATTCCTAAGAGGTCTGTAAGGGGCGTGCATAAGCGCACAATCATGCCTACCATCCCTGTCCTATTGTCCCCAATTATTAGTTTCTATTTCATGTATTTAAACTTATTGTTCTGACCCAAGCCTCGTTCAAAGCAAACAAACACCAAACAGAGATAAAAGCGAAACCTTTTTAATGCTTCTCTGTGAATTCCGTTCATTCATAGTAAAATGCTATTAAAAACTAATTGTCCCACAAGGAAGGGGCCATCTTTAATGATCAAGTAATTTTATGTGGGGGGGGGGG